CAGGTTGGCAGCCCTGCACAACTCAGCCGGAGCAAGCATTTCTTGAGGTTCAGCAGGTCAAGGCTGGCAGCCTCGCAAGAGGTTGCCACAATCATGTCTGTGCCCTTGCTGGCATCTGGACTGGGGGGGGGGGGCTGGGGGGATGGGGGCTCCAAGTAGCTAGAGGGCCACAAAACAAGCTGCCCATGGGCCTCATGTTGAACCACCTGGGCCTAGAAGCATGTAGCTCTGGAACATCATGGTTCTGTTACAAAAGCTTTGACAGGGCAGAAGGACAAGAAACTAAGGCTGGTGCTCATGCATGTTTCCTAACACTAAAAGATGCTTCTGTGTTCTACCTAACTCCTTAAATTGCTGGAAGAGTCTTGCAGCAACCCTCATCTCCATTGAATTCTTCTCCACAGTGTCACCTAGTGTTCTTAAGAGGAAATGTCAGTTTTTTCTGAGAAAGACTTTCTTTTGACATCTTGCTTTTCTGGAGATGCAGAATACTGTGCACACAGGGAAAGACTACCCCATGGAGGGTTACCAGACAGACGATAAGATTCCCTGGGCAAAAATAAGCCGCATTTGGGGGTGGGGTCTAGTCTTCTACATGTTTTACACAAGATTATACCATGAGAAATATGGCTATAGTTTCCTAATGCCTAGAATGAAAGGCGAAGCATTTCACATCACTTATCTTTATGCCAGAAAGAGTTTGATCTGCAAATCGGCACATGGCAGGTTGCTGCTATAGCGTCAGGAACCATGTCAAACTAAAAGAAGCCCTGAAACTGAATAAGGCAATATGTTAAAATGCCTTCATGTAACACTACCTGTGCTGACTCCAGATTTTTGGTGTCCCTTGGGGAAAAAACCTTTAATGAACACCTTCCCTATGTGAGTCTAGATTTTCCCAGCCATTTTCACCACCTTCTTTTGTTCCTTATCCATTTTCTAGTCATGGCTACTAGCTGCTTGCTTGCTAGGTAGAGAACCAGGGAGTGAACAGGCAGTGACAGCTGCTGTATTTTCCTTGTCACTGCCACCATTGCCTGGACAGGGACAAGAGGCAGTGAACAAGCAAGGTGTAAGTTGTAATGGTGAGAAGGAGGAGCAACTCTAGGAGACTTTTGTCAATGCTGGGGTACGGGCCCTCAGCAAGTGGCTAAGTATACCTACTCTTGGCACCAACCCAGAACACTATAAGGAAAAATACCAAGCTTCATATTTGGGACCTGAGGTACAGAAACCCCCTTTTACACTTCTTAAGAAGGAATTGGATTCCAAGACTAGGTTGGCACAGGTTTCCACCGGTTGAATTTTTCTATCTTTAACAGTACCATGACTTACAGAAATTAAGCTAGCAAGACATTCCTTCTTACCATATCTCCATGCCAAGAAAATGTTATCTTACTACATTATTGCATGTAAAATTGCTGCTAAAGATCCCCCCGTTTCAAACTAAGCAACCATGGGCACTGCCAATCTGCTTTTTTCCCCTTTTAGAAAGCCCACCCAATTAACTCAGCAGGAATGCATGTACATGCACATGCGTATGCATGTAGGTGTGAATATATAAGGTGTGAAGCCCTTTAAAAATATTGAGTGTTAGAAGTTTTGCAACATCCCTCCCCCATATTCTCTCTTTCTACTGATTTCTTTGTGCCTGGTTGAGCATCACTGAGCACAAGAGGCACAATTAAGACACAACCCAAACGTGATGCAGAAAGCTGAATGTGAACTTTGATCCTTTCTTTTCTCAGTAATGAGCAAATTCTGCTTTCTCGCCGGGAGGAACAAAACCAAGGTTTCATTTGACAGCTGGGATTAGAGGGAAGCAACACCTGAGAATGCCAAGATGATGATAGGAATGATATAACTGTGAAAAACTGAGAAACTGGGTAGGGGTGCTGGCAATTCTCTAGAGACTCAGTGAAAGCAACCTGATCATACTTTTAATCAAGAAAGAAAAAGGAGAGTTTGCTGAAATGGCAAAAAGGCAGCTTTTCCACATTCACTTGAGGCAAATTACCCTAAGCAAAACAATCGAGACAAAGAATATGCAGTTATGAGCTGAAAGGACATTTCTCATGCATTGCTCTAATGATGAAATGGTGCTTCAGAGTGACTACACTGAGATGATATGCAATATAGGATTTGCTTATCACTGTTGCAACTGTGATTTCAAACTTACTGATAAATAGCTATCAAGTATGGGAGTAAACAGGCCTCCACAAGCCATGTCTACATGCAAACTTTAAGTTAAGACTGCCACCAGTGGATAACATGTAGTCCTCCAGATGTTTGGGCCTACAATTCCCATTAGCCCTAGCCAGCATAGCTAATGGTGAGGGATTACAGGTGTTGTAGGACTAAATATCCAGAAGACTCAAGTCGCCTACCTTGACTCCCCCTTCCTGCATATCTCAGCTTCATGTCCAGACTTTTCCACCTTTACTTGCCCAGATTCCCACTGAGGATACCTCTCCTTTTTCATTAACAATCTACCCTGCCCCATAATCATCTGCAAATTTATAATTGCTCATGTCTTTCTGGGTAGAGGTTCTGTGTGACAAGGAGAAATTCAGTAGATGCAGCTTACCACAACACTCCAGCCACAAATCTGAGGAGTCAATCCCTATTGAACACTGACCTGTCATGCCTTTCTTAAAGACTCAGGGCATTTCTTGAGGGGTGATAGCTGCAAGCAAGATTATGATGCCTGAAAAGTCCATGTTTCTTTCCATTTTATGTTATTCAACCAGAAGGATCCAGATGAGAACAAGGCATTTTTCCTTACAGAATTTGCTTGCTTAGCTTCAGAGGTCTCAAAGGCAAAGTTGTCTCAGCTATTACAAGGAAACATTTTAATTTGAATAATTAAGAATTGTTGCCTTTTTCCCCTGGAAGGGCTGCTATATCTTCGAGAGCTCCATGGCAGGAAAAATGCAAAAGGTGCAGCTTTTTGGATATAGAGATGCTGTAAAGAGGAACTATTTCTTCTACTAAATGTCTGTCATTCAGTTGGTAAGAAAACAGGATCCCAGCCAGTAAAAGGTGCCAATTCCCTGCACAATGCATTTCCCTTAACAGCTCCATTCAAGTGTGTGGAATGAATGAGGACTAGAATTAAAACAAGAGGTAAGAGCTGCTTAAATTGCCCAGCCATGTTGCTAGCATCCGACCTTCTGCATCCACCTGAGATTATTTTATCTGCTGACTCCTAAATAATGGTTGAAAGACTTTAGTAGTTTGAAATGCAAAGCATTTGACAAAGCCAAACTTATTTTATTCAAGCAAAGCAAACACATTGTTTTACTGGTAGTTAATATAATTGGCTATTAGAAGAAAACGTTCTTCTAATAGCCAATTATAAAAAATGTAAAATCCAGCTTGGTACAAAGTTCCAAATTCATCTGCTGAGGCCTAATTATTCTTGTTTCTTTTCAGAAATGAAATTCCTTTGAATCTCTTATCCAAGCAAATATCCCACTGAGATATTTTCAGGACCATCCAGCTAACAGCTGCTACAGCATCATTACTAATTGTGAAAAACCTGATTGTAAATAGATCATTGATTTATTATTTACATGACTTTAATGAAGGAATTGTGTGGTCCCTGGGGCAGCATCCCAAGAAGGATATAAGGCTGGAGAGAAACTTGAACATCAGAAGGGGAGATGCAGCCCTAGATCTATCTCGGTTTTCCCACAAAAAGATCTCTGGCCCTCAGCCTTCTCTCATCAGACCCCCAATACAGAAGTGAGGAAAGTGTAGAGGATCAGTGGTGATGTGCATGGAAAGAGTAGAGGACGTGCTGAACCATGCCCCCCCAACCTGGGAGTAGTTTTCTGCCTGAAAGAATGTTATTACTGTCAATCTGCCTTAACATAACTAAACTGATGGGAGGGATATCAATTAATGAAAAAATAAATTTAAAAACCGGTAATGATTGTCACTCCTCCATCACTTCCACCTGGCCATGAGAAGCCCCACAAGGTTTTGGAAATGATGTGTGCTTCAAGCTACAAGTACTCTAACCTCAATGACAGAATTACCCTCTTAAGAAACCAAAGTCTCAGCATGTCCACCTGAAGTTCAATCTGTTTGCAGCGGTCGTGACTCAACAGCTGCGGGACTGCAACCAGGCCTTGCCCTACCTGCTGTTTGCTTACCGTGATGCTGTTCAGGAGAGTTTGGGTTTTCCCCCAACAAACTGGTATTTGGAAGACAAATACAGGGGCCACTGTCACTATTGAAAGAACTGGAAGGAAAACTAGAAAAAGACCCCCAGTCGGTTGTGTCATTCATGCAAGAATTATATCAGATTTTGGAGGCAGTGCGGTGGGTGGACAGGCAACATTTGTGCCAAGCACAAGAAAAACAGAAGGTGTGGTGCGACCGCACTGCTAGGCTCAGGGAGTTTGAGCTAGGGGATAAAGCATTGGCTACAACCCTCATTTAAACAAGCCTTATTATGTTCTGTTCATCCACACACTAATTTGGGTCCAAGTCTGAGAAGAGGAAATGGAGTTCATCATAATACCATATATCTGCATGGATGGAGGTCTCAACATACAGTAACAATAACAAATATTATTTGGTCTTTAGAGAATATATAACTCCTCTTTTCATTATGGAACTAAATTCATCAACATTGGAAGCCAAGTGTGGTTCACATTTTACATCTGTGAGCAGAAGAGATGCAAATAATGTCAGATTTCTCTTCTAAACAATATACTATAAGGAAATAAAAGACACACAAAGGCAGGGGGAAGTGATAGATATAATCACATTATATACAATTTTCTGATCTGTTTGCAGGTTTATTCTTCTACATAAAGTTATTGTGTGGCTTGTTCCACCACTATAGTTAACTGTCTGATTTTGAGAAAGTTCCAGTAACATCATCAGGTTTTTTTTTCTCTTGTTTTTTTACAATAACTATGTGGTAGCTGTAGGACAGGCATCATGATTATTATTTTCATAATTATAAAGCAATGCTATTCATGAAATAGGCTAGATAAGTTTATTTCATTTGGCTGGAGCTGTTCTAATGCAAAATGACAGATCTTGGTTGAAGGAAAACCAAAGAAGAGGGCAGCCAGCTCCAGTCTAGAGTGATTTGTTAAAAGATCACTAAATGATCACAATACAAATAATGGAAAAAAAGAAACAGCATGCCCTGAAAGAACTGAAGAAAAATCTTTAGCAGGTCTTGGTTTCTGCCATATCTTGAGACTGCAATGATGGCACACTGGGAATGTCCAACCCTGGTGCATTCTGGAATTAAAAAAAGAAAGAATATTAGTTGTATGGTGTATAACTCTGACAAAGCACAGGCCAGTAGTCAAGAGGGCACTTCCACATCTAACAATTGTGCTATGCCTTGCTGCTGATTCTTTTGCATAAATGGCCCCCACTGCTTATGCATTGTTGATTTGGCACTTCCAGAGGTAACCCAAAAGAACTTTGCTTAAGGGATCTCCCCAACCTCTTTTCTTCCTGAAACCAGTGTTTCTACTCATTTCAAGGCCTCCTGTAGGAAGTGCTAAATCTCCCTTGAATAAACAGTGGGTCTTATTTGTGTTGCAGAATCAACAGAATGCCCACTGCTTCCAGGAAAGAATCAGTGGGGTGTAAACACTACTGCTGGGGATAACTTCATGAAGTGAAGTAGAATGACTTCATAATATGAAGCAATTTACAGGACAAATCTACAGCCCCCGCATTTCTCTTGCAGTAGAATGTCCAAGCTACCAATGCAATTATTTATTTTAATTGGAGCCTACCAAAAATCTGCAAATTCTACCCCAAATCTGATGTCTTCTTTTCAAAACAGAAAAGAAAAATTAACATCAAATATTCCTAATTTAATATGAAATATATTTTCATCATTTATTATACAGAATTTGGACTTCCTTGGTGAAGCGCTTGAGATATTTTGAACTTCAAAATCTCTGTTCTGTTTGGTAATAATTCTGTAATTCATTTCAGGAGGAGTTTCTTGAATTCTGAAGCCACAGATCTATGTAAATGCAGGGATGCAAAAATTGGATTATTACTCCGCAGGTGCTATGGGGGTATTCAGAAGCTGGATATATGGAAATTAATACTTAGGGAAAATTTCAGAGTGTGGGAGTACTCTAATCAATTTCCTTGTAGAGCTAAAAGGGTCTGTGGTTGCTACATAAGAGGGCTAGGTGGCACTACTCTACCAACATCTAATCAAGTGGATGTCATTCAACATTACATGAAGAAGCAAGACCTGTTATCAGAGCAGCACTTAATAGTGTGATCTTTGTAGGTCTACTCAACAGTAAGCCCCACAGAGTTTAATGGGATTTATCAACAGGTAAGTGGATGCAGGATTGTGGCCTAAAGCTGCCACTTCATTAATAGGGGAACAAAAATCACCTGCTGTGCTGGAGGGGGCCAGGGAAGAGTGTATGTTGAACCTCCAGAGGGAAGACTGATTGCTTGATGGGAGGGAACATGCTTTGCACGTGGAAAGTTAAAGGTTCACTCTCTGGCAACTCTTAGGGAACAGATGCGATGGCTTTTCCTGAACACTCTGGGAAGAGCAGACCATTCAGCTACATGGATTACTGTCTGATTCAATACATGGAAACGTTTTATATATGGAAAATAGATAAATTGATTCAAGATGGCATTGGAACGAGACGGCTGTGATTCATGGAGCTCCTGTTATCACGCCGGTATTGCTTGGCAGTGAGTCGCGGGAGACTCATCTAAGCCCTGTCGGGGCAAAGACAGATTGCCTGGCATTCTTTCTTTTGGTTGGTGTGGGATGGCAATCCCATATCTACTGGGAGAAATTCAGGCATTTCTCAACCGGGCAACACAGAGGTTTTTTTTAGCCCCTTCCAGTTTTCAACATCTGATGGATTAAGTATCTTATTTTAGCCAGATAAGCATCGGATGGCTGGTAAGCATTCTTATTTCTTATTTCTTTTTGCAATACTACCCATGGAAAAGCTGTATCTGTTCATAATTGACTTAAAGAAGAAAGAGAAAGCCCTCCCAAAGTTTTTAAGCGGCAACTGATATAGGAGAGAATATGAAGGCTTTTATCTGAATTGAAGCTGAAAAGATTTTCCTTCTAATCTCTCTAAGGGCAAAAAGCAAAATGAATAATTACTGTAGAATTAAATGACAGAAGATTAAAAGGTAGAGCAATCATTTTGGATACCTGTTTGGACTTCTGCCAAGACTAACTGGACACTTGCCAGGATAATTTTTGTGTTACGTGGTATTTTCCTCTCTACTGTGATGACTTTCTGGTGAGCATTTTAACTTTCTTTTTGCAATATTACCTGTGGAAAAACTATATCTGTTGTTAATTGGCATAAAGAAGAAGGAAAAGTCCCTAATTTGCCGGTGGCCATTTTTGGCCAGCTTCCATTTTTTCTGGGACTCCTACCAAAAAGAAGCTGGACACTGAAGACATTTCCTTCATTTTTTTAAAATAGCCTTTTGCTGCCACCCTGTAGCTATTGGAATTATTGCAAGCTAATTTCATTTTTTTCTTTTTTTTTCTTTTTAATATTTTATTCAATTTATAGTTTTTCTCCCTCCCTTTTTTTCTTCTTCTTCCCTTTCTACTTTTTTTTTTTTTTTTTTTTTTTTTTTTTTT